AAAATGGCGGTGATGACGTCATGTAACCTACACCATAAAGGAAGGTAAAGTACTTCTGGATGTATTCTTAATATCATTATTGCTATTTTTACAGGGAAAGAAAGGTATTTGGTCTTGTATAATTATTTGTTGGCCTTCTGTCGCCTTGCTTTGAGCTTGCTCAGTTGGGGTTATTTAGTGTTTAGCAATATTATTGATCTGTGTTGTACTACTTTCATGTTATCACTGTGAAGCTGCTTTGATACAATCTGTATTGTGAAAAGCGCTATATAAATAAATGTGACTTGACTTGACTTGACTTAAGTTTATGGCTCGCTTTTAGGTGGATTAAGCTTTCGCATTCAATTCGGTCCAATTGTAAAGACCTTATGGCACGCCCTATTCCTTTCCGACCTTGTGGCACGCCCATTGCTCCAGGCTGCAGTAAACCCTACTTGCTTTATTCTTACCTGTCACAATTAAAGTGCAGAGTAATTTAAATTAATTAAATCCTTGAACTTCCCTGTCTCAAGTTATGTGGGGGAAAAATCCTGGTTAAGTAGGAACTTCTTTTTAACTGCTATAACGTTAACTGTTGTGAGATAAAATAATCACCTAATTATTTCAACCTAAAAATGACCTCTGCTCTGGACTAAATATATGTATAATATATGAGTGCCGAGCCGTTGCCGAGTCGCTTTCACCCCCAAATGGCACTGCTGCTGGGCGCTGGTGTTGCAATGGAGCGTTCACTTCTTGTCAATATACGTTCTTTGTCCGTACGCAGGATATATTTATCTCTCTATCCAGCTCAAGTTTGCTCATTCTGGTCCAACTCATTACCTGTATTACTTCCACTGGAGTTATGAAACTTTTGAAGGGCTGGACTATATATCGGTACATATCGGTATATATCAGTAGATAAAATTATGCAAAATAACTATATTGTGATATAGGCTATATAGTTATCATGAAATAAAATTCCTCAAATTGTGAAATAAGAGTTTGGTCATTAAACTGACTTATTTTATTTTGTGATTAATTTAAGTTCAGACATTCCTACCTCCTTCTTACATAATGAAAGGTGTTACGATTGTGTTTTATTAATCGTTTTATGAATACATTTTAATTCTCTATAAATCATTTGCCACTATTCCAGACAGAGAGAAACAGAGAGAACACATTCATTGAGAATTTGTATGGATGAAGATGTACAGTATGTGAGCAGAAAGAGTAGGAGAGAAGCAAAAAAGGTAAAGGGCAGAATGCAGATGACGGGTGGTCATTATGAATATGCTAATTACGTATGACATCATTAAGCGACTTCGAGCAGGCTTTAGCCAGTGTTTGGCAAGCGTTCCTCCATCTGTGAGAGCGGGAAACAGCTGCAGTCGAGCTGAACCAATCTCAGCTGTCGAGGGCTTTACCGCCGAGTTTCAGCAACACGTGTGGAAAAACACTGGGCTTACGGGATAACTCAGGGAAAGTGTTGAAGTGACTCTTCCTCAGCTGTCACCAAACTCCTCTTACGCGTGATTTGGTACCTCGCGCCTCGGCTAATGTTAGCATACTTCGAATCGCTGCAGTCATGGATGAGTTACCGTAAGTGACATGATGTGTTTTCCACAGGTGTACTGTATTTCCAACCAGAGAAAGAAAACATTTTCATATCTTATTTAAGATATGCATTGATTTACAGACGAATACAGTGATAAAAGGTAATCAGCTTGATTTTGAGTGTGATAATATTTGTATACAACAGTCCTATAAAGAAGCTTTTGTACATGTTAGCTCTGCCACAAGCAAGCAGTGATGAAGAGCTTGTGGAGTGACACCAACAGTGAAGTCGAGCTACAGTAAAGCCTGTTCTAGTACAGTGGTTCCTGAAGCAAACGATGTGCTGTGATCATGCTCATGTACATGTGTTTATAGTGCCCTCAACTGGCTCATTATATCATCTCATTACAGCTCAAACAGCATCAGCAGAGATGGCTCAGATTTCTTTGGCATCTGCATTACCAGTTGTGATTAGAGTTCACTATACTGGAGTTTTTACATGTATTGCTTTGTTACTTTTACTTTTCTGATCTTTATCTATTTTAAAATCATACTGTGTACGTGTCCATTTGGATCATAATTAACATAAACATAAACACAACAAGCACAATATTGTTGTCATATCAACAAACAGAGAATAACACATTTTGTTTACAGTTTTAGAAAGCATGTTTGCTGCTTTTCATCCATTGTCTATGTACAACTGTGTGTGTGCTGGGTAAAAACTTGAGATTTTCACAGTGGTCTGAACACAATAGGTGAATGAGACTGCAAAGCCACGGCCTGACAGTAGGTGGCGCTGGTGGAGCAAAGAAAGAAAGTCAAGCATTAGAGAGCAGGTTCAGTTAAGTCTTTTTATGACTCAATACATAACTATCGTAGTCTCAGCTGTTGAAAAGGATACTTGATGTGTTAGATGTATAATGTAGTGTACATAATGTATTAGATTAAGCGAAATGCAGGATTAAGTTCAAGTGTCTTGTAAGTCCCTGAATTCCTCTACTGGTATTGTTATGGGGGAGAAATGGTTCAGTTACGCCAGGTTTTAGTGGAGGTGTCTGTAAAGTGAGGGCATGACAGTTATGTCTCCAACTAAATTATGTACATTAATTTCAGGATCTGCTGCATCCCTATGAATAATCATATTGGATCTAAAAATTTTCCAAATAATACTTTCCAGAAATATCAACGCATTCTCACTCCCAGGGCGTCAAAAACTGAAGCATGGTCAAGGTCCTTCCGCGTCACAATAAAGACGCTGAAAGTACCCGTAGGCGTCAGTTAGTTGACGATCAAGGAACTCCATTGATTTCAATGGCTTGCCTTATGAGTCACATTAAGACGCAAAAGGCAAATTAGATCCTACGTCATCGCAATTTTCTAAAACTCTGGTAAGAAATAAATGAGCCTATTAAATTGATGTTTTTATAGCCAAGTTTCTATAGCTACATAGATTTATTTTTTGCTGTCTAGACTTTCATCTGGAAACCCCAGCAACTTCAAAGCATTAAAATCCATAATGCATGCTTATACATATATTTGCGTTTTTAAAATGCATAATTAAATGATTGTTTAGGTCTACTGTGCATTCAACACTGTATTGTCTCTGTTATACATCTCTGGCCTGTTTCTTTTTGTGAAAAAAATGGGAAATATTAACACACACACACACACACACACACCTATATATGTATAATGCTTAATGTATTTTTTTACTGCTATTTGCTCTGTATGCTATTTTTCTGGGACAGTAATAATTTAATTATCATCTCGCTATTAATGTTACCTGTAGAATATTATCACGTGTATTAGCCTATCGATATTTCATGCTTTTATTGGTGTGGTTCTCATGTTGGCCAATCAAAACATACTGTAACGCTATGCGTCGCTGAAAGTACCCCTAGGCGTCACTTTATTGACGTTCAAGGAACTCCATTGATTTCAATGGCTTGCCTTTTGCGTCAGATTAAGACGGAAAAGGCAACTTAGCCCGGTAGCTAACAGATCCTTCGTCATCGCAATTTTCTAAAGCTCTGGTAAGAAATAAATGAGCCTATTAAATTGATGGTTTTTTATAGCCAAGTTTCTATAGCTACATAGATTTATTTTTATTTTTTTTTGCTGTCTATAAATTCTCGTTTTAATATTATCTGGAAAGACTTTTATCTGGAAACTCCAGCAACTCTAAAGCATTAAAATCCATAATGCATGCTTATACATATATTTGCGGGGGTTTTTTATAGTGCATAATTAAATGATTGTTTAGGTCTACTGTGTATTGTCTCTGGTAATACCTCTGGCCTGTTTCTTATTGTAAAAAAAAAAAAAAGTGAAATATTAAAACACACACACATTTATATTTATAATGGTTAATGTATTTGACTGCTATTTAGGCTACTCTTTAGGCTATTTTTACATTCGATGCCTGGAACATTATTAAATTAATTATCAGCTCGCTATTAATGTTATCTGTAGAATATTATCACGTGTATTATCGATATTTCATGCTTTTACTGGTTCTTATGTTGGCCAATAAAAACATAACTCTTACACAAAATCAACAGGGAATTTTTACAATTATAATTGTTGGTTTATAATTAAAACATTTTAAATATTGTACTTTTAAAAAATAAAATAAAAAGTAAAAGAAAGCAATTCCACAAAAAAAGTTTTCTTCTTCTTCTACTTCTTCTTCCTTTTTCTGGTTTAAATCCTGTCGCATTTTCCAATGCGATACCTCGTCTTTGCACGGTAGGTTTTGTTACAGAAATTACATAACTTAGATACAAAATGTCAGTTTCTGGATTTATTGTACTTTTGTGTATCATGTTCACACATCTATCAAGGATGTTATATGTCAGGATATATTGTATATATATCGTTATATACAATACCCAAAACCTATTGACGGGTGCTAATGACACCCGAAGCTATGGTGCTATAGTGCTAATGGTTCCAATTAGGCCTGCTACGTCAATACCAAGTGTTAGCATGCTAGCTAATAGGCTACTTTACAAGGGGGTAATCCATCGACCGGAAGTTGCCATTGACTCCCATTCATTTTGACGTCACTTTGACAGCGAATAACTTTACATCTAACCTTACATTTACATCGTTGGAAGACCCCATTTGTCCTTTTTTTATTTCTAAAGAAACACGACAATGTATAAAACATCACCTTGTAGCTTATGTTATGGCCCCGTAGAAGCAGTTTTAGTGAAAGTAGGCTAACGATTGCGTCATACCCACGCGACTCTCTGTCGCACAGAGATGAATAAGGGTCTTATCAAGCGAAACGATCGCTCATTTAAAAAATAAATAAAAAAGTTTACGTTTTATAAGCACAAATGCTCGCCTTGCTCTGTGCTGTGTTCGTGACTTGAAGGGTCCTAGATAAGACCCTTATTCATCGTCTGGTGTCGTTTAAAGTCCTTTGAAGTTGCACTGAAACTGTCATTTGGACCTTTTTTTTTTTTTTTTGTGCTTTGGCAGATACAGGCTTTAACAGTTTGTGGCCTGAGAGCCTATCGTGATCTGCAGCTACTCAGAACTAAGAATGTGTAATAAGTGGCAATAAGCATCAAGATATCACAGTTTTTTGCTAAGGAGATGTTTGTTTAGTCTCTTCTTGAAGGCCTGAATATTCTTTGAGGTGATTTCACCTACTACGGTAGAGGGGAGGCAGTTCCAAGTTGTTACAGCTGAATGAAGAAAGCTCCTTCCCAAGCATTTTGTGTTAGACTTGGGTAATTTTAGTGCGTGACTTGCTCGTGCTCTTCGAGTGGTTCGGCAGACGAGATCTGGTGGGGGTAGCAGAGCTTTGAGATCCTCTGGACAGTTTTTAGTGTGCATTTTGAAAAGCACAGTTGTTGCTGCAACAGTTCTCCGATGGTTGAGCTGACTGATTGCATATTTCCTTAGGGCAGTGTCCTCATCCACCCCAATGATTTTCAGTGCCTTTTTCTGGATGTTGTCAATCTGCCTGAGGGTGGTCTGTGATGCGTTCATCCAGGCAAGGCAAGAGTACTCCAAGGTACTCCTGACTTGTGCCTTGTAGACATTGGCCCTACCTTTGACATCAAGCTTGTTGGCCAGCCTGCGCAGAGCCCCAAGACACTGTCCAGCACGCTTACAGATGTTTGACAGGTGATTATTCCATATCAACTTATTATCGAAACATAGTCCCAGAATATTCAACTGCTCAAAGAGGTCTATTCTGGTTGTCCCAAAGAACAGGTCCGGATGGGATGGAGGCCTCTTTCTCGACAGAACCATAGCCTTGCATTTGCTGGGTTCGAACGTGACCTTCCAAGTATCTGCCCACCTGCGAATATTCTCCAGATCTTCATTTAAGGATGCTGCCACATTGGGACCATTAAGTGCTGTTACTGGGGCATAAATGGTGGAATCATCCACATACAGAAAAATGCTGTTATTGCACTGTTCTACAACATCGTCAATGAAGATGGAGAATAATAGCGGGCCGAGAATCGATCCCTGGGGCACCGAGGCTTTGATTGGTTTTGGTGATGAGGACTGACCAGAGAGCACGACCTGGATGGACCTTCCTTCCAGATAATTCTGTAGCCAAGAAAGTAGTGGCCCAGTTATACCTTTTGCAGAAAGCTTATTCAGAAGACCGTTGTGCCAAACCTGGTCGAACGCTCCTTTAATGTCTAGTGCGACAATATACACCTCACCTCCTTTGTCTAAGATTTTGTTCCACGTCTGCGATAGAACTGTAAGGAGGTCTGCTGTGCAGTGGTTCGGTTTAAATCCATACTGTTTAATAGAAATTAGATTATGATGGAAAAGGTAGCCCTGGAGCTGTTTATGAACTGAGGATTCCATCACTTTGCTAAGGACTGAAAGGAGGGATATGGGACGATAATTTGTTGGATCTGATTTAGAGTCTCTTTTGTGTATTGGAATCACTCTGGCGTTTTTCCATTGTTTGGGGAACACGCCATGTGAGAAGAGAATTTGAAAGAGACGACTGAGGGGGCTGGCCAATTCCACAGCACATTCTCTAAGGACTTTTGTTGGAATTTCATCAGATCCCGTTGCCTTTGCTGGATCAAGGTTACGAAGAATGTTTCTAATGTCTTTGGGTTTGAAGTGCACATTGGCAAAAGAAGATGTTGGTTGCTGGCAATGAGGCAACGAATGCACAGATGCATCGGGCAAAGTACACTTCTCTGCGAAGGTTTGACAGAAAATGTTAGCCTTTGAACTGGCACTGATGTGGGTGGTACCTTGGTGTTCAATGACTGGGATGTTTGTGAAACCACTTCTGCCTGAAAGTGAATTTACTATGCCCCACCATTTTTTTGAACTTAGTGAGTTGTCTGCAAGTTCATTCCTCAATTTGGTGTAATACTCCCTTTTTGCCCTCTTTTCAGCTCGACTGAAAGCTGCTCTTGCCTTGAGGAACATCCGTTTCATAGCTGGGTCATCAGAGGTCCGCATGTTGTAATAAAGCTTTCTTTTTACCATGGCTAATCTTCTACACTCTGCATTGAACCAGGCTTTATCCCCAGGCTTTTTGGTAATGATCTTGTTGGGAATATATAATGTCATGGCGTCTCGCAGTATGGAGGTAAATTTTGTGCAGATGATTTCAGGATCTTCATTCTTGAGGATACAAGGCCAGTTGATGTTAGAGAGATAACCTCTCATTTCCCAGAAGTGAGCCTTATCGTATCTCCATACTGTTCTCTTGTATGGCTTGTCTCTGAAGACTGGGATTTGTAGCTGTATTAGAACAGGGTTGTGATCAGAGGATCCCATTTGTGCTAAGGTGGTAGTAGTTGCTGGTGTGTCTGACAGAACTAGATCTAGAATATTTTCTCCTCTAGTTGGTTCCATGACCATCTGATCAAGTCCCAGACAATTGGCGAGTTGTAAGATTCGCCGTCCAGCACTGTCAGTTTTATTACTACCCAGCCACTCGTGGTGGTGTACGTTAAAGTCACCTATGAGCATTACGGACTGTGCTCTATATTCGTCCATCACTGCGAATGTGTTCTTGTCAAGGTAGTCCATGATATCGCAGGAGGCACTTGGGGGGCGGTAAATAGCACCTATCAGGAGTGCCCTGGTTTTCAGAGCAACAGTAAACCACATAAGCTCAAGGTCATCAGGATCTCTAGCTGGATTGTGATAGATGGATATTCCTTCTAGACAGTATACTGCTATGCCACCACCGCTTTTCAAAGTGCGATCTCTGCGACCATTGAGCGAGTAACCAGGGATCTGGATGGAGTCAGCCCCGTCTGGAGTGGTGGAGTCAAGAAAGGTCTCAACTACGATGACTATGGAAGGTTTCTTCACTGAACAGCAGTTGGCTAGATCCCCAATATTGGACCGTAGTCCTCTGATGTTCACTTCAAGGATAGTCAAATCGGATTCGTTAATTCGTAGTCGTGGTCCATGCAGTGGTCGATATTGCGTAATTCGTTTGTTTCGAGGCTTTCTTTCAAGATTTGTAGCAGAGGTTCGACGGCACAGGGGGAGCTAACCCCTGTGCCCATTTTTACACACCTGAGCAGTGCGGCAGGAATCAGTGCATACATGGCCTGATCCGAAAGCATCATGCCTAAGCAGAGGACTCATAACGGATCGGGCCCCAAAAAGGAGCCACTTGGTCAGGGACGGGGTGATCGCACTTTTAGTGATCCCTGCTACCCCTACCTTGAACCGTTTGTTTTCCATTGAAGTCCATTATATGGAGAAAATCCTGGAATGTTTTCATCAAAAACCTTAATTTCTTTTCGACTGAAGAAAGAAAGACATGGACATCTTGGATGACATGGGGGTGAGTAAATTATCAGCAAAAGTTTTTTTTTAAAAGTGAACTACTCCTTTAACATGTTTTAAACAGTAGCAATTGCCTGCACTTTATTTGATTGCATTGTCATTTTTTCTTTCTTTTTTCTTTTAGAGCAAAATGACAAAACACTGATTCTTGAAACTTTGGCAAAAACATGTCCCACTAAAAAAAGTGCTAATTCTGTTGGAAATTAATAACATTTTCATGAATGAAAAGAATCAAGTTTATAATCAGGGGGTCCTTTGCACATATGTAAGGTTCTTTTATAGGTTTATTTTTCATTTTTATTATTTTAATGATTATATGCTGGCCCATTGCCTACAAAATCAGCTGTCCTCGGATAGGAGATAATCATTTCAACTTGATTAAAAAAACAAAAAGGAATAATTGAATTGAATAATATATTTACCACACAAAAGAGTACATTGTAATATGTAGTAAAAACTACAAACAGTGAGTTTTGAACAATATTTACTATTATTTTGTGGTTGTTCAAAATGTGTCCCACATATTCGTCACCACCGTCAGATATTTATAAAAAGCAATAAAATCAGGCAACTACAAGGTCAACTACATTCCTCCATACCCCATTTTCAAACCTTCAGCTTTACATGCTTCAAGATCACTCAAGCTCCTGTAATTTTGCTATTTTCTCTTAAACTTGTTCATATATTTGGGCACTGCTACTGTCACAAGCATAACATGTCAACACCGTCTCTTTTGTATAGAAAATATTAGATTAGATTATGACATAATTGTATACTTTTTAAGAAGAGGTCTGAAGTAGCTAGCAACAGAGGGGAAACAAGATGTGCTATAATGTGAACAACTCATGCATATCATGTGAAAGAGTAGGTTTTGTCACCACCGTCAGACGTCACCACCGTCAGGTTTTCTATCTGACGGTGGTGACATACCATGTGACGGTGGTGACAAAACCCCCCAAATGGTCTATAACAGAGGCTAGAATATAATTGTTGATCACAATAAATACCAATATATTATCTGTAATGTTCCATTTGTTACAGTCTGCGTCTGCACCGTCCTGTCTTGTCATCAGCACTACACTTCCCAGGATCCTCTTGTCTCCACTCCTGAACTCACTCCCTCATCAGCCACCTGTTCCTCGTCTTGTTCATCAGTATCACCTGTCTTCACATCGTTATGTTTGATTCCTCCCTGTATTTAGTTCCCTCTGTTTCATTCAGTTATTGTCGGTCAATGTTTGATGTTAGCCTGTGTGGTGCCCGTATTCCTGTCTTCCAGCCTGTGTTTGTATATTAAAAGTAATCTTTACTGATATTCCAGACTCCTCGTCCTCTGCCTGAACCACACCCTGACACCATTCACCTCTTTAATATTTTTATTTATTTAATTCCCCCTATATTTCTTCCATTCAGGCTTACACTGCATGCTACTATTAACGCGAGTGAGAGTGAGGATGTTTCCTGATATCCTCACGGCTGTGGTTCAGCTGCAGGAATACAGCAGTTCTTATCTGAACACGTTTGATGCGATTAAATTGTGTTTCATGACGTTCATTTAGATTTTTGCCCACACTAAAAATTTGTTAAAGCCTAGCATGGATAGGAGCAGCAATAACCCCCTTGGGATAAACAGAACAGAACCAACATGAATGTTTTGCAGATTATTTCAAAATTTAAAGTACAATATAATTCGAGAATTTATTCAGATTCTTGGGGAATCAGAATGTCAAGTCCTGACTGACGAGTGGAGCTGGGGAGGGAGGAGGGTAATGAGCTCCTGATAAACGTGATAGCTGCTGATAATACTGAAGGAGCTTATATATGTGTACAGTGATAGGCATCATATTCCTATAGGGGGAGGTGGATCAGCTAATAGTCGGCTGATGCGAGCTTGACTAACGTGAACTGCCAGAACTAACACTACGCTTGATATTTAGACAGATTTTTTGAACAATTTTTGAGAGAAATAGGCTTTTAGTGTACATGGAAAAGTAGATCTTTGAGTTCAACTCATGAAAAATGGGGGCAAAAACAAGTGTTGCATTTATAATTTTGTTCAGTGTACATATTTATGAATTATACCATCAGCCTATCGTCCAATAGGGGATAAGGTGTGCCTTCCCTCTCTCTCAATTCACTATTATGCCATGTTCATTTGGCTTATGTCATTTGGGATGCACATAGTGCAGCTACTGCCTACCTACACAGCACATAGTATGCACTATCCATTCCAGGCTATGCATCTCCAATGACTAAAGCCAAATGAAAATGGCATGACATCATTTAAACAAATCTAACATTCGCTGTAATTACCCCCAATTTCATAGTCATTACACTCAACTTTGACTTTATGTATTTTAGAAAGTTATGGCTAGGCAGCAGCTATCTGTAGAGGAGAGAAGGAGAAGAAACAGGGAATACCAAAAAAAGCTGAGAGAGAAAATACACAGTGAGGCAGTTAAATGAGGAATACCTCATAAAAGGAAAAAAATGTTTATCACAGTGCTCAAGATTGTTATTTTTTGGACCAAAGAGTTAAATGAAGTTGTTAAGCAAGAATTGATTGACTTGAGTGTTATACATTGTGGAATTGTATGTTGTAAAGAGGCCACAGTCACCACCGTCAGATTAATGTCACCACCGTCAGTTCTAAAGTCACCACCGTCAGAGAGAGTTCCCTTTCGAAGGGAACTCAACAATACGTCGAATGACGCAATGGGGAACGCCTCAGGCGTGACAGGTGTCTGAAATCAAATATCAACTCACAGTAATCAGGTTGACCGGCGACAGCCCGTGCATCATCAGCTTGAATGATGAGCGCGTCAATCTGGATGTATAAGAAGGGCGCCTTGAAACCGTGACAACATCTTTTTATCTTTAGGGACTGTTTGTCTGTGTGATAGTATCAACGATTAAGCGCGCAGAGACGTGGAGAAACACTTTGCGCGAGTGTGCCGACTTGTGTCCAGATATTTGACACCGGAGGATTCACACGATCTGTGCGGGTTCTGCCTGAGAGAAGAGCATGTGCGGGAAGCTCTCGAGGGAGTTTTTTCCGCGAACTGAGAGTTTTCCTTTCAGAACTCTCTGCTCTCGTCTGACCCACTTCTCGAGGGAAGTGGGCGCGGCATCTGAACCCCGCGGTTCCGGTTCCCGCTCGGGCTGAGGCTCAGTGGCGGTTGAGCTCGTGGAGCTTTCAGATGGAGCTGGCAGATTATCGGGAGAGGGGCGTTAACCTCGCGGATGATCTACCAGCTGACGAGGGTGAGTTACAGATTAACGCTGAACATCTAAGAAGAGAGAAAATGAGCGCTCTCTCTCTTTGGTGAATCTGTAACTGTTCTTTTCGGGCAGGGCAGGAGTTGGCTGTAGTAATATATATATATATATATAAATAGAAAAGGATGTCAGTTTGGTTGAGACCGAACCATTTCAGCCCTCCTGCCCAGTGTACGCTGAGCTGGTTGACATTATGGGGCGTGCCACAGACAGATTGCAGTTGCAGTGGAGGCGCGTCTGGGAGGAACCCGCTCATGGTATTTTGGATGGCTGATTCCTCCCCACCCATAAGCCACCAGCCCGGATGAGCCTTCCATTCCTTTCTGATCTCCACGCTGGGATTGAGAGGGTATGGAAGAATCCGTTCTCCTCACGTCTCTATCTGCATCAGCGGGCTAGTTTCGCTGCTGTGGAGGGAGCCGTGGAGCACGGATATGTGTCGATGCCGCCAGTGGACGAGACGTTGGCTAACTATCTCGTCTCTGGTTGGTCCTCTTCACTAAGAGCTCTGACCCTGTCATCCAAGCTGCTCAAGACATCTTCATGCTTGAATGACAGAGCGTACACGGCAGCAGGTCAGGCAGGTGCGGTTCTGCACGCCCTTGTGGTCCTCAGGCCTACCAGACTGATCTGCTGCGGGACTCCGGGCCACCAAGCAATCTGCTGTACCGTCGGTGCTATGGTGGCCACGGAGAGACTTCTGTGGGAACTCCCACATACTGCGGTTGCCGGGTTACAGGCCTCACCAGGCCTTCCTGGTTATGAGCTCCCACATACTGTGGTCGCCAGGTTACAGGCCTCACTAGGCCTTCCTGGTTATGAGCTCCCACACATTGTGGTCGCTACGTTACAGGCCTCAAAGGGGCCTTCCTGGTTATAGTTCCCACATACTGTGGTTGCCGGGTTACAGGCCTCACCAGGCCTTCCTGGTAATGAGCTCCCGCATACTGTGGTCGCCAGGTTACAGGCCTCACCAGGCCTTCCTGGTTATGAGCTCCCACTTATTGTGGTCGCCAGGTTACAGGCCTCACCAGGCCTTCCTGGTTATGAGCTCCCACATGCTGTGGTCACCAGGATACGAGCTCTCACATACTGTGGTCGCCAGGTTAAAGACCTCACCAGGC